GGAGCCGCTGCCGGAGGGTCTGAGGCCGGCGCAGGAGCGGAGCGGCGGGGGCAGAGCATGTGGGGGCCGCCGGCCGGCCAGCGCCCCCGGGAGTAAGGGCCAGGTGAGCGCCGGGGGTGCGGGCTGGATGTGCACCGGGTGTGTAGATCGTGTATGTGTGTACACTGTGTGTGTGTGGGGGGGTACGACTTGGTGTGTGTGTACACTGTGTGTGTGTGTGTGTGTGTGTGTACACTGGATGTGGGGGGTATACTGGGGGTGTGTGGGTGTGTACACCATGTGTGTGTACATCGTGTGTGTATGGGTACACCCTGTGTGTGTGTGTGCACACCCTGTGTGTGTGTGCACACACGTGGGGTACACCATGGGTGTGTGTGTTTGTACATTGTGTGTGTGAGGGTACACCGTGTGTGTGTACATTGTGTGTGTGTGTGTATGTGTATGTACACCCTGTGTGTGTGTGTGTCATGGGGGTACACTGTGTGTGTACGCACATCATGTGTGTGTGTGTGGGAGGGTACACTGGTGTGTGTGTATGTGTATGTACACCCTGTGTGTGTGTGCGCGCATGTATGTACATTGTATGTGTGGGTACACCAGGTGTGTGTGTGTGTGTGTATGTATATCGTGTATGTGTGTGTGTATGTGTATGTACACTCTGTGTGTGTATGTACATTATGTGTGTGTTTGTGTGAGTACACTGTGTGTCGGGGGTGTGTGTGTGTGTATGTACACCAAGTGTGTGTGAGGGGGGCACACCAGGAGGGAGAGGTGGTTTACGTACACCATGTGTGTGTATGTGTGAGTGAGAGTGTGTGTGTGAGAGAGGGGATACACTGGGAGGGGTGTACCTACACTATGTGTGTATGAGAGAGAGTCTGTGTGTGTACATACACCTGGTGTGTGTGTGTGTGTATGTACATAAGTACATGGGAGTGTGTGTCTGTGAGGAAGAAAGAGTGGTGCTGCCTCCTGTTGTGTGTGTGTGTGTGTGTGTGACTCTGTATGTGTGTGCATGTCTCCTGCTGTACTCTCCTCTGGAGTTCTGTCCGCAGCGCTAGCTGGTGACTTTTAGCCTCAGTTGTTTCATTTTCCCAACCCATTTTCCAGTGCAAGGACGGAGGGAGGGTGTCTGTGTGTGGCCGTGAGAGTTGTGCTAGCGTGTGTGATAATCATTAGTGCTCCTGTGTGTATGCACATGCTTTATTTGGAGATGTTGTTGTGTACAGTATATTGTGGTGTGTGTGTGTTCATGCGAGGAGTTGTGCTAGGGTATGTGCCCCTGTAGGTGTGTGAGAATTGTTTGCTGCTGTTGTGAACTGTACATTGTGTGTGTGTGTGTGTGTCCCTGCTGCCCCCTGCTGGAGGGGATGAGCCCTGCTCTATGTGTGTGTGTGTGCACGCAGGTGTGCATGCATCCTGTGGAGATGTTGTGTAGAGTGCATTGTGAAGTTTTGCATGTGTATCTTTGTGCATGTGTGTGTACGTGTATGTGGGTGCGCACGCACATTTTGCTTGGTTGTTCCAGTAGGTGGCAAGTTGTGTGTGCGATTTGTGAGAGTTTCTGAGCAATGTCAGTATTGTCTGTGTGATTTCCTTAGTGCCTCTCTGAACATGTGTGTGTGTGGTGTTGATGTGCACTACTGTGTGCATTGTGCTAGTGTAGTTAGTGTGCGCTAGTGGCTGGTGTGTGTTGCGCTGGTGTCAGTTGTTACTGAGTTTTAGTGTGTGCTAATATGTGCTTCTGAGTGGTGTGTGTTTGTGCATTGCGCTAGTGTCTGTGTCGTGTGTACTGGTGGCTGTTTTGTGGTGGGTGGGTGTGGGCCTAATGTGTCTTTTGGTGTGATGTCCTAGGGTATGTTGTGTTTGTGTTAGTTGTGTTGTGTGCTGTTTGGCTGCTTGCTACACAGTCGGTGTGTTTCTGAGACCAGTCACTATGCAGTGGTGGGGTGGGGGAGCCCGTACAGTGCTAGACGGGGGTAGGTAGAGTGTCTTAGGAGTGCTGACTTGTTATGGTAGGGTCTGTCAGTCGCTGTGTCTGTCTCTGCTGTTTTGTTATTGTAGGGTCTCTCAGGAGCGCTGGTTTGTTATAGTGGGTCTCTGAGGCATGGGGGCTGTCCATACTGTTTTGTTATTGTAGGGTCTCTCAGGAGCGCTGGTTTGTTATCTGGGGTTATATTAACAGATCCCGTCCACAGGGGTTAGGGGGACCCCCCTCAACATGCTGTGAAAACTCCAGGGGGCTTGAAAATATTTCCCAGAGCTCTGCTCCGGACAGCTCCGGCTGAATTCAGCCCTGTCCGTGCGTCGGTGATGCAGGACCGGGGGAGGGAGGGGAGCAGCCCAGCCCCTGGCAAGTGGGACCCTTCTCTGCCTGGGCCAGGTGCTGGGGCCAGGGGGCTCCCTGGCTGCTGTGCGGCTGAGCCCCATAGACCTGCCCCTACATCCAACTGTGTGTGTGCTCTACCCTCACCCTCAGGGCTGGCCCCATTGCCCAGGGCAAGGCTAGGGGGCTCTGGGCTGCAGGGGGAGGGGCTTAGCAGGGGGTGCTGTGCTGCAGGGAGTGGGTTGGGGGGCTCAGCAGGGGGCGCTGGGCTGCGGGGGGCAGGGCAGGGGCTCAGCAGGGGGCGCTT